CCTCATTACATTGTCATTTTGCTTTCTAACATAAATGTTTTTGTTTAGAGATTAATACAAGAATGATGAATACATGTGCTGATCTACTGGATATTGGCTGGATAATTTTGTCAGAACAATCCACTTGCAAGACAATCTTACCTAAATTCATCACCATGGAAAATAACTTAACAGCTAAAATAATCATATATTATATGGATGGATCAGATCAATGGCACACAATGTTCAAAACTAAACTTGTGATACCTTCTACTCAAACAGATATTCTTCCACAACACAAATTGTTTTTGTGTGGATATGCTGAGTTAAACCGAACAGTGTGGTATATCATTAACTGTGCACAGGGTTGCAATTGAATTATATACTTCACTCATGACCTTCAAATCATTCTCTACTATTCAGTGCATGGTCTTTGATATATGATTGACTCTTTGCTACAGTAATGCATGTTCCTCGAATAGTGTGTATGTTACTCAACAGCTAACATTGGCAAGTGTAAACAACAAGTGACAGAACTTTTGCTTCATATGATCACAACAAAGTTTTGAAAATTCGATGAGTATGGATTGACAAGTGACAGTTTACCAAATAGCCGGCTGTATAGATACTTTGAATATTGTTTGCATGACATTTTTATTTCCTGACTGCATAATTATCTGTTACAAGCATAATCACATTATAAAATTAGTTAAATTTTAGAGCATGTGGGCGGGGGGGGGGGCAGTTGCCCCTGCTGCCCTCTGTGCAGTGTACAGCCCTGTTATAGATTTGTATTATGTTTGATTTTAAAATCTTATTTGCTATTATATTCATCATAATAAGTGATGAAAGCAGGGAAACTTGTAAAAGTTAGGGGGGACGACTCCTACAAGGCCCCCCATGGCGTCCTACGCCCCTGGATGAAAGTAGATATGGGTTTTTGTTTGGTGGCCCAACCGTAGACATACAAAATAATTGGCGGCCCATCGAAACTGCCCAAAGATTTCCCATGGCCCATCCCAAATCACTCCGGCCCACCCTAGCAGTTACTTTATGACCGGTCCCTTAGTGCTCAAGAGAATGAGATCTTAACTTACTACAATACCATGAGGTCTCGGAATTAGCTAGAAATTGCGTCAGCAAAGTTTTGCTGACCTATAGTTTTGCTGGCCAGTTCATATCAGAATTACAAGAAGTGTTCAACCTCCCTTCGGGTAAAATTTCAAGTTTTCATGATCAAGCCTTCCTCAAAATAATGCGACTTTTCCGCATGCATGCTATGCGACTCGTATTTAGTTAATAGAAGTAGAATTAATGTATGTTAGGCACCCTACGACCGTTATGACCGGGGATCCAGATTTTCCTAATATAGTGTAAGCTGATTTAAGAGTATCAAATTAAATGCGGTTTTAATATGCAAGGCGAGCTGTGAATCTAGGGAAAATTTTTGGCACTGGACATTGGATAGTACGCCACTGGACTTTCGCAGGGGCGCCGGAAACAACTTGAAGCGGCGGGGGCAGCCATTTTAAAAGGGCACTTAATTTTTGTGGCCGGCAATGTTCGTTAACATTTGGCTGGACGGATACTTGGTAACTTGTAGACAATATAGTTAGACAAATTTCGAATGACGTTAAAAGCTAAAGTGTATTGTAAAACAACATGAAAGTATGTCAATTACTTTAGGAAAGCTAAGTTGAAAACAGTGTTAGTCGTGACGTAATTACCGGAAAGGTCTATTAAGATATACTTACCATTGAGCCTGTTTAAGTGCACTTGCGGCATACTTAACACTCTTCAAATATTCAGTTTCTATGTTTGCATGTTCCAGTTCTTGTTGTTGGATTTCAATGTTTGAAAGCTTTTCATCAATATATGCAAGTTCTTTCTCCAGTTTCTCCACTCTTTCTAATGCACTTAAGGCGCCTTTAAAGCAAAATTTAAATACCGATATCAAATCAAATACAAGCACTTTTCTGTTGTATTTAGTGCACAACATCTTAAATACAGTACTGCATGTCCAGAAGTTTTAGGTCACCTGTAAATAATATGAATGACACTAATGGTTAATAAGTATACACGACATGACACTAAAGTCATGACTGTGAGAGTCAAGAGAAGCCCTGCATGCCCTTGCTACAACTCCGTTACTGTAGTGCTGCGCAAACTCCAGTTATTCAGCTCCATCACCGGCTCCGCTACTTTATACAACTCAGGGACAAAGTCTTTAACCGTATAATGGCCCATATTATTTGGCTCGACTTTGTCCCCAAGATAAGATGATGTGATGCAACGTGTCAAATCATGACGTTTGCGATTTACAACTTTTCCTATCATATGATCACAGGCATAATGACTTATTGCAATTTAGTGGCCGTTTGCAGTAGCCGAAAATGGCGAAATGGTTTGACACAACAGATATATGACTTCAGATTATATGTACTTTCAACGTATTCAATGTTGCCATTATTTGTAATAAATTGTCACATTTCTTAGCATTTAGACTTTCCAGCCGCAGCTGGGTGAAAGGAACGCAACTCCAACTCCGGCTGACCAAAAAACGCCGGAGCTCCGCCAGAACTCCAGCGCACACAGAATCAAGCTGGACTGATAATCACATGCGATCTGGCTATGACATACGGTTAGACGAAATTTTAGATAAATTATAGGTTGGCAACCTTTAGAGCATATAGGTGGTGTTTAAATAAGGCATACAATGCCCTATGTATCTATTAGATTACAATGTGTAAACTTTAAGGTATAGCCATGTGAATTTATGCATTCCAAAAGTGAAAACCAAACACTAATTTTCTTAAAATAGTTTAGCGGAGCAGTTGCCTGGAATTTACTGGCAGAGAGCCCGTTCAAACTGAGCTCGGTCGTAGATCTATCCAGTTAATTCGATTTCGAATCGATTCGGATCGCTTTTTCGGAAGTGTTCACACTTAAGACTAATTTCCACTCAGGAAAATTACTCTGTGGATTGGAACGGGCAAGAAAATTTTTCTTTGTCTTGTGAGTTCTGGGTTGGAACTAATGACTTTAACACAAAGAAATTTTTTTTGTCCGTTCCAATCCACAGATAATTTTCCTGAGTGGAAATTAGCCCCTATTGGTTAGCAAAATTGTTAAAGTTGAGAAACTGCATATAGTGTGGTAGGGGATCTGTGGATCGAGTTCTTTCAAGAAATAGATATGGCGGATATTTCTGCCATAGCTATTTTGATAAGTCAGTACCTAGAAAAGACAAAAGAACGTACCAAAACATCGAAAAGAATGCACCAAACAATTTTATGATATCTTATGAATAAGAAACGTCATATTGCCATGCTTAATTGTTTTAAAGCAGCGGTAGAAAGACAATTTTGGGTCGAACCAACCAGAGGCCAGGGCTATTTTTGGGAAAGAATGATGCCTTCATGGACAGACGACAGGTTATGGATAGATAACCTCGGCATGACAAAAAGTACTTTTCTTTTATTTGTGAGGTGCTGTCCCCTACATTAGAAAAGCAGAAGACTTGATTTAGAATGTCAAATGAGAGAGCCTGTGGAAGAAGGCCAGATTTAATGCTGGGGGGGGGGGTATTTGAAAATATTTAAGAGGAGGTGCGGCAGTCTGGCTGACAACCTCACTGGGATGTTAGCGCTCAGAATGTAGCCCCCTGAAGTAAATTATGTGACATAGGCATGTAATGTACAGTCGTGATTGACCGATAATCGGCATTGGAATTGCGCCAATTTTTCCCTTATCAGTAGACAATCGGAATGGGTAGAATTATCCGTATTTCCGATTGTGTAAAACCAACTATTGAGAAAATATGCTGCTGATACCTGCTGCATTTTAATGCAATACGTTGCCGCAACAAAATTAATGTCTGAAGCATGTAATTTATGAACAGTTTTAACAAACTTTTGTTGCAGTAACACATTACTAATTTACTATGCAAATTATCAAAATGAAATGAATGACATCACCTTTGTGTCATTATAAAATTGGTATGGTAAAATTGGTATGGTAAAATCGCATGAATAATTGTAATTTCTGGTCAATCACCACTGCACAGGGTACAAATCTAGCTGTTAATGTATGCATGAATTATTACGATGCAACTCGTCCAATTTGCCCCTCATTACAAAGTTTCTTAAAAAACATTGCATTGTAAGGGTAATGAACTCCGAGATGATTCGTTATCACTTCTTCAACAAATTTTTACTGATCTATCATTTGACTTGTTTCAACTTTCAAGGGGACATGCATGAATTTTCAGAGGAGGTGCAAAAAAATCTCAAGGATGGTGCAAAATGATCTCAGGGTAGGTGTGCACCTCCACACACCTCAAAATCCGGCCTTGCTGCAGAGGCAGGATTTAGGATATAGTGTGAAGGGATTGAAAGGACTGATGGAAATTATATATCAAAATCACTATTTTGATAATTTTTTAGGATAGTTTTCTGGGGCCGGTTGTATCAAGCCAGTTTAGCTTAAACGGTGGTTAAAGGTGATGTAAAGTCTGTTCTGTGCATATGTTCTTAGCAGGCCTACATTCCAATGGTCAGGACCCGACCATTGGAATGTTGTTAATATTTCACACCTTCCAAACTTTCTTGAATTAAATTTCTAGTCTGTATTAATTTACAAGCATAGCATGATAGCAAACCAGAAGAGTGTTAAAATTTCAGTATAATATATATCTAATTATATTTTACAACTGTAGCACTGAGTTCAAAATGTAAACAAAGCGTTTGTTTACATTACAGACTTTACATCACCTTCAGGCTTCAAGCTCAAAATAGAAAGCAAGTCTATAGATTCATTCAACAACCAAACTAAAAGTTTTGAACTTTAATAGAACAATAATGTATACAACTACATATTCAGTGCACAATATTTAAGTTGACTGATTCACAAGATATATAATAGTGTTATTTAATTTTGAGTTTAATATCCACCGTCTAAGCTAAACGGAGTTGATACAACCGGCCGCTGGGAAATCTTTTAATACTGTACTGTAAGAATAATTTCTTAAAAATTACTATTACTGTATTAGTATTAGCTGCAAGGTTTATAAATATACCCGCATTTTACACACGTTAATATGTTATTAACAATGTCATGTTAAGAAACTACTTTCTTGGAACCCCAAATTTGCTTCTAGGAATATATGAGTAATATGATAACATTCAGACAAATTTTACAGTAAAGAATTTATACAACCATCTACTTCTAAAACTTCCACAAAACAAAGTGAACTCACCATGCTTATTTTTGCTCGACTTCGCAATTTTTAATTCTTGATCAATTTTCTTCTCCAAATGCTCGCTTTTTTTCTGAAGCATTTCTTCCATGGTTCGTAATCTCTGAATCGCTTCTTGAGGGGAAGGTCCTTGCTGTTTCCGGGCTCTGCCGCCGCCAAATATTTTGGCAAGAAAACTCATAGCTTAAAAATTTTAAAACAATAAAAATTACGTACAAAACAGCAAAACTTTTGAAACTAAAAGTGCAATATCTTGCAATAATTTGGTATGTGGTATTTGTCCATTTTGCTGTTTATTTATATGAGCTCGCGTTGATTTCTGGGGTTTATTTTTAGAAAGCTGGGTCCAGAGAGCTGGGTCAGTTTTGGGTCAGTAGAGTTTTGGGCCTTTTGGCCAGTTTTGTCAATTAATTTTGGGCGGTGGTTTCAAATGGGTACTTACCTGTAAATAAAAGGGCTATATTTTAGGAGGGTCTAGATGGGGGGAGTCTGAAAATCAGTAAACGGTAAAAATTTTGGTATTTTAACGGTAACAATAAGTAACATTTTGGTATTTTAACAGTAAATCTTTGAAAAGTGTTCTGAAACGATAAACAGTATTCAGTGGCGGCGCCAGGGGGGGGGGCGGCAAGG